TGTGTGTGTGTGTGTGTGTGTGTGTGTGTGTGTGTGTGTGTGTGTGTGTGTGTGTGTCAGAGGGGTAACTATGCCCCCCCCTTCCCCCGCCCCCACACACCCGACTACACATATATACATATTAATAAGGGATCAGAGTTCTCTTGACAGCTCTTCACATATATATTCTGTGTTCTCTACTCCACGGCACCTCACTCCCCCCCCCCACCCCCCTCTCTAGGCTCCGTCTATTTTCTGTCTGTCTCTCTCTCTCCCTGTCTCTTTCTCTCTCTCTCTCTCTCTCTCTCTCCTTTGTACGTTAACGTTTACATATGCAATAGAGGAAATGCCAACTGCTACTGGGGTCATTAATTACCTACTCCAAGGGCTGCCGCCGCTGACACTGACAATGGTAGTTTGTATCCACGTCTGAGAAAACACACAGTCAGCGATGTTAACTATCGAGCATGATACAGCCCCCAGGACTGACATGTCGGAAAATCCGACACCATTTAATATTACATGCAGGCAGATAATATTGCTGCTGCATTGTATAAACAAGTTAACCCATAGAAAATGTAACTTGTAGTGGAATTTCCGTCTATAGAAAACGGGATATCATTACCACATACTATTATAAATTCACCACCTATTATGGTGGGAATTATTCTTAAATATATTAGTCTTTGGACTTTACCATCATAAAAACATCTCATATAAATTAACTTAATTATCAGAATTAAAATAGAGTAAATGTGACCCTTCTATCACTTTCTGACATCTGGACAATGTAGGCCAGTAGCGTCAGTGAGGAGGGAGTGGTCAGCCATTGTTATTGTTTAAGACCACAGAGTCGTGGAGCGAATTACGGCTCCTATAAATTCTTCTACATTGTGTCTGCGAGTTCTTTTAGTCCTCGCCTCGGGGGACTAAAGGGGCCTCGTAGCCTGGTGGATAGCGCGCAGGACTCTTAATTCTGTGGCGCGGGTTCGATTCCCGCACGAGGCAGAAACAAATGGGCAAAGTTTCTTTCACCCTGAATGCCCCTGTTACCTAGCAGTAAATAGGTACCTGGGAGTTAGTCAGCTGTCACGGGCTGCTTTCTGGGGGTGGAGGCCTGGTCGAGGACCGGGCCGCGGGGACACTAAAGCCCCGAAATCATCTCAAGATAACCTCAAGATAGATAACCTCCCTGGAGCTCTACATGATCTCCACTCTCCTTACTGTCTCCCTTTCTCCTTACCTTGGTTACCCTCTGAATGAGGGTCTCAAAGCACATTGTGCTTCCATTAATAGTTTGTGTGTAAACTGGCGAGTGAACCTTCGTCCTAAACAGGAAATATTCTGAAGTTCTAACTTTAGTGTATTATAAATCGTTGGTTTAAAATATAAAAAGTTTACCCTTAACTCGTTTTCAAAGCAATGAAAACGAGACATGTGGATCCTCTGGAACAGGACCTCTGTTCCAGAGTCCCCCGACCTCTCTCCCCTGTGTATCCCCCCTCTCCTTCCTCCTAGTTCCCTTCCCCCCCCTAGTTCTACTTCTGTTCTCCCAGGTTCTCCTTCACCAGCTCCCCCCCCCTTCCCTCTTCCTAAGGTTGTCCACCCTTCCATTTGGTTACTCTCCCATCACCCCCTCACACACCCCTTCTCCCAGCTGTATCATCTCACCAGAGCCTCACTACCAAACTCTTCAACATGCAGAAAATGAGTTTCAATTTCGTTATGTTTGTTGACACACGGCAAAGGGGGAGGTAGTGGGGGTGTGGGGGGGGGGGAGGGGATGGATATGGGAGGGGGGGATAGAGTTGGTGGGGGGGGGGGTGGAGGGAAGGAAGAACGTTCAAGAAACATTCACTACAGTAATCCATTCCAGAAAGTATTTTGACGGCTTAAAACCCGTCAAGACAGTACTCCCGGAGCCCAGGCGGGAGAGATACATAATAATCTACATATGGAAGAAGTATCTGCGGGACTGGTTGTAAATCTACACATGGAAATAACGCGGATATGTATTCACCTAGTTGTGCTTGCGGGGGTTGAGCTCTGGCTCTTTGGTCCCACCTCTCAACTGTCAATCAACTGTTTCTACTACTTCTGTACTATTTTTTTCCACCCCCCCCCACACACACACACACACACACACACACCAGGAATTGTAACTGTGCACTGTGTTAGATAATGTTCCAGTGGTCTGTTGTGGCTGTAACTGTGCCCTGTTTTGAGGTTATCTTGAGATGATTTCGGGGCTTTTTAGTGTCCCCGCGGCCCGGTCCTCGACCAGGCCTCCACCCCCAGGAAGCAGCCCGTGACAGCTGACTAACACCCAGGTACCTATTTTACTGCTAGGTAACAGGGGCATAGGGTGAAAGAAACTCTGCCCATCGTTTCTCTCCGGCGCCCGGGATCGAACCCGGGACGACAGGATCACGCGTGCAGTGTTCTGTCCGTTCAGCCACCGGCTCCCAGGGTTCTAAGAGTTCTTTTACTCTCTCTCCAAGCCCTGCTTGGGGGCCAGGCTCGACTTGTGATATCTTGATCCAGTAGACTATTGCTTCTGCCAGTGGTAAAAGGAAATGATAACAGATGATTGTGCTACTGACGATAGCAGTAACGATGACAGGTGATTGACAGCAACGTTTCTTATGACTTAAATGATCGACACACACTTCCGGTAGTTATTGAAGGTAGTTCCCGGTAGTTAAGACAGCAAGATTGACCGGATACGTCTTGGAGGAGGGGTGGGGGGGGGGGGGGAGGTGTTTTTCTTCAGCCTCCACAAATATATATAAATCATCTTAATGTTGCCGCTAAACTGTTTATTGGGGGAGGCGGTGGTTTAGGTGGGCCGAGGAGTGGTATTTTGGGAGTGGCTGATTTGGTGGCGTAGGGGTGTGGCGTCTGACGCAGGGTGTGACGCAAGGTGTGACGCAGGGTGTGACGCAGGGTGTGACGCAGGGTGTGACGCAGGGTGTGGCGTCTGACGCAGGGTGTGACGCAGGGTGTGACGCAAGGTGTGACGCAGGGGTGGTGTGGAGTGTGCCGTCACATGGTGTCACATTTCGGAACAATTCCTCCGGGTCGTGGTTCTACAGCACGTTTAGCAGCTCACTGAACATAGTGTTAATGAGTCTTTAGTATTTATCTTGCGTCTAATGTCATCCTTGAAGGCTGACTCTTCCTTGGGGCTGTCATCCTTGAAGGCTGACTCTTCCTTGGGGCTGTCATCCTTGAAGGCTGACTCTTCCTTGGGGCTGTCATCCTTGAAGGCTGACTCAAGGATGAGCCATCACTGATCGCTTAATTATGAGGCAGTATCGTGATTTATCAGCGAGAAGACCTACAGGGGCCGTGATGACGATTCGAACCTATGTGCTGGGTGTTCCCAGATGAACGCTCCAAACGACTACGCCACAACATGGTCAAAAGCATTGCAACCTGGGGTACTACTGCACCTGGGATACACAGGTGTGGCAAACACTGGTTCGGCATCAGCTGAAGCCTCGGGAACCCTAGTGGGTTCAGTAGTACTTCAGGTTATTGACCAATCAAAAATGGATCTTAATTATACAAACCACAACTAATGTTCAAATTTCATGATTTTCAGATTATTGAATCTGCAGATTTAATCATTTTTTCATTGAAAATATTTTTACAATTCGTTATCGTAAAACTATTTTTTTGGTCCACCAGGCTGTTGTTTGGAGCAGCCCGCAGGCCCACATACCCACCACAGCCCGGTTGGTCCAGCACTTCTTGCAAGAACTTATCTAAGTGCCTCTTGAGGACCTCGGTACCTCTTCATCAAAGTTACTAAAAATAATAATATGCCACTTAGCAGAGGATGTAGGGCGCATGCGCAGAACAATGGTGGCAGCGAGGGTGTTCCACTGATGCCTTACACAGGCCAGCAGTGTGGTGCTGACCTCCGGAGGGGCCCCATCACGCCTCTCCACCCTACACAACACCTTAAAGCAATACTGCTCACTCTCCGCCTCAAGCCGCACCACCGTCATTATAAACATTAAACCTCTACCGTCCCATCAACACAACAAGGACATAAATCATACAATTAAACCACAACATCAACACGATAAATTAAACCCTCGAGTCATATACTTAAAACAGATTAAAACACATACTAATAATACATTAAGGAGAGCTACAAAGGCGAAGTTTCTCTTTATATTTAAATTCCCAAAAGCGTCCACCGAATCAGTTCTCGAGTACAGAGGAGGTAAATAACCCGCCGTCAGGGGCAGGCACTTCCTCCCCCGCCGTCAACACCAGCCAGAGTCATCATGGCGGGGCGGAAGTACGCAGTCAACAGTCTCGTGGGATAAGCCAAGACCTTTCACAGGTTTGTTTACAAGACTGTGAGTGGGTCAGGGTGTGTGGGTGTGGAGGAGGGATGGGTGTAGGTGGTGGTTGTAGATGGGGTGTGGGTGGTTATAGGTGGGGTGTGGGTGGTTATAGGTGGGGTGTGGGCGAGAGGTGTTGGGGGATTGAGTCGTGTAGGTGTAGGAATGTGTGACTGAAGAAGCATTAAGACGCCGTGTGGAGCACACACACAGATAGCCAGACGGAGCCCACACCACCACTACACAAGGGCCCACACAATAGGCACTATACACTATGCCAGACACAACAGACCCGGAAACACCCGGGAGAAAACCCAAAAAACACCTCGAACTGTTCCCCATGATTTAAACCGTCATTAAACTGTCTTGGGAATACCATTACAGTCTTACTATAGACCCAAGACACAAACAGCGTGGCGGGCAACACAGCCCGGCCCGAGGCCAGGCTCGGCTCATGAGAGCTTGGTCCAACAGGCTGTTGCTGCTTGCAGCGGCCTCCGATGAACCATAAAGCTTCAGAACAGCGTATCCTGAGTCACAGAAAACGACCCGTTCAGCGCTTTGTAATGTTTGGCAGATAATTTGTAGTGAAAGTTGTTGTGTTTGTGTGAGGGTGTTGGGCAGGTGTTGGGCAGATGTTTAGAGTGAGAGGCAGCTTACCTGCAACAATGAGGCCCAGCGTGCAGCCGTCCCTCTTGCAAAGCTGCACGTTGCTCACGCCTCGCACCTCTTCTGCAACATAGGAGAACCATTGACATAAACATCTTGTTAACATCCTTCTTTACTTTTAACTCAAATTCATAACGTTACGAAGACTTCTCGTGTCTAGCATCAGAGCTAAAATACAAGAGTTAAAATAAAATAAACAACAAAACAAAAAAACTTATATTTTAATATATAATCTTGTCCAGTATAAGAGATATAGAGCGACATTGGTTACAAAACATTTGGTTCAACTAACGTGAAGCAGGTTCGAATCCTGAACGCTCACAGAACGGGTATGGGGCCCAGTACCAACCACAGGATGGGTATGAGGGCCAGTTCCACCCACAGGACGGGTATGGGGGCCCCAGTACCAACCACAGGATGGGTATGAGGGCCAGTTCCACCCACAGGACGGGTATGGGGCCCAGTACCAACCACAGGATGGGTATGAGGGCCACCACCACCCACAGGACGAGCATGGGGGCCACCACCACCCACAGGACGAGCATGGGGGATACAGAATACATAAGCAACAACAAACTCACCAGCAATATAGCTGACTCGCTGGTCCCGGGCGGCCGCCGTGTACTCCTGTCCCCCGTTTTCTGTGGGAAGACAACAACATCGTCAGCATATTGTACGCAAGGCAACATTAATAGATATGTGCAACACATGCTGTATATGTATGTGTATATGCTACATAAACACACACACACAGCATATTCGATGCGAAGACATACATTTTACATATATTTTCACATGAAAAACCATGAATCTAAACGCAAACAGGGATACATATGTGTACACTTAAATGTGTACCTCGCTTCTGGGTGTACACACACGTATGAGTTTACTGCGGTCCTGAAATTCAGCTCCAATCACCATCCTGTTGGACCAAGCTCTCACAAGTCAAACCTGGCCTCAGGTCAAGCTTGGGGAATAGAAGAACTCCCAGAACTTCATCAAGCAGGTACTGTACCTGTGTCACGAATCTTATTACGATTCTGCCAATTCTCCCGAACCTCGTATTATGTTATTGTTTTCTCTACGTAAATATTGCTGTCAGTTGTATAAGATTTGTGTATATAGATATATATATACATTATATATATATATAACATAGATAGCTGGGTAGTGTGTGTAAGGGTTGTTTTGGTGGTGGATGTCACGTGGAATTAGCCGTGTGGACAGTTGACAATATTTGGGAATGGCCAGGGCGATTGTTGGCAAATCAATTGCCTATAGTTTTATATTTATTTATTCCCATATGTGGTAGCCGTAATATTTCAAGGAATGTGAGACCGGTAATTACAACTCTTAGTTAATAATGTTGGAGTTTAGGGCTGACCTTTGTAAATAGAATGTTCACAATGTTCATGCGAACGTTAATTGGTGTTTGGGTAGACGGTTAGTCGACGTTGGGCCTGCGGACCACGTCTTGGGCAGTAGAGTGGCGGCTGCGGTCGAGTGCAGTTGTGTTTAAGCTAAGTTCTTGGTTTTTGTTATTTTAAGCCCATATAAATATTAATTTATCTGGATAGACGATTTTAGTGTATTTATGGCTTACTCCATATTCTGGTGATAGTGCTCAGGTCTCAAATAATTACTTGCATTCTATAGTATTACATGCTGATAAATATTTCTGGCTACTATTTATTTAATTGTTGTTAAGTTGTCACCCTTAGCAAAATATATTGTTCTCCCGTTTTTATACAGTGATTAATTATACCCCTAGACACCTATTGGCATGGCAGATTTTTATTGGTTCTTTACACTGTGGGGAGAAGAACATTATTTAGTCTCAAGGGTCGTGACAACCTGCTCCAGTACTCTTTCTCATCCCCATATCAGGTACAATCTATAGTAACTTATCATCCTTAATGACACTAGACTTTTAATGAAAGCTGACTATGGAGAGAACACAGGACTATCATGAGTTGGTTTCAGAAGACACCTCCAATCTGATCTTAATCAGGTCTTTCAATGGGCTACAGAAAATAATATGTTTAGTGAAGTTACCTCAAATCCTGTCCTATGTTCAAAATAAAAATATCAAAACGGAGACCAGATATAAAACACAGTCAAACTACACTATAGAACTAAAACTCAATGTAAAGGATTTGGGTGTACTCATGTCGGAAGACCTTATCTCTGAAGAACACAATAAAGTAGCCGTCACAACTGCAAGAAAAATGACAGGTTGGATAACAAGAACCTTTCACACTAGAGATGCTATACCAATGATGATACTCTTCAAGACACTATTGCTCTACAATAACACAAGAGTGAGCTGGCTCTACAAGATTAGCATTGCTTAGTACAAGAGGTAGCCATAATAGAAAACGTATTACTTCGCCGCCCGCCTCCAGGGGTGACTCGGGCAGATGATGTTGGGCTGTTAGTGTAACTCGTCCTTTTTTTTTTTGAGATATATACAAGAGTTGTTACATTCTTGTACAGCCACTAGTACGCGTAGCGTTTCGGGCAGGTCCCTGGAATACGATCCCCGCCGCGAAGAATCGTTTTTTCATCCAAGTACACATTTTACTGTTGAGTTAAACAGAGGCTACAGTTAAGGAATTGCGCCCAGTAAATCCTCCCCGGCCAGGATACGAACCCATGACATAGCGCTCGCGGAACGCCAGGCGAGTGTCTTACCACTACACCACGGAGACTGCTATAATAGAACGTCGCATTTTGACGTATACGCCATCCAAGAGCAAAAATCGTCGTACTAGAACATGTTAGCGGGTCATGAAATTGACATCCTGCTCCGTTTTCTGTCAGTGGGTCCTCGGGTAGGTTAGGATAAGGGGCACTTTAGTTCGACAGTTTCTTGACGTAGGGGAGACTTTAGGAGGACGGGTTGGGTAGTGGCATCCGGCTCGGAGCCGGCCCAAGCAGTGCTGGTCACGTCTGGCTAACCACTTGCATAATGCACGCTACTCTTCTTGCATTTACATGCACGCACACACACACTTCCTCCACAGGCACAGTCACTCAAGTATATGTTTCTGCGTGCGTGCGCCTGCTCACGCCCGCCTAGCCAACACTTACACATTGTGGAGGGGCCAGGACACAGGGTGGGAGGGGCCAGGACACAGGGTGGGAGGGGCCAGGACACAGGGTGGGAGGGGCCAGGACACAGGGTGGGAGGGGCCAGGACACAGGGTGGGAGGGGCCAGGACACAGGGTGGGAGGGGCTAGGACACAGGGTGGGAGGGGCCAGGAACTGACTGTCGACACCCACCATTAACTTCACGATACACCATAATTGGCTCCATAAGCTGCCTGACCTTTGACCCCCACATGACCTGGCGAGGGAAGGTATTACACACCTGAAGGAGGTCAACACGTGTGGACACACCTGAAGGAGGTCAACGACTGAGGACACACCTGTACAATACTCAACATATTGCAAGATCTTCACGGCACAGATTATCGCTAACATGACACACGATAGGTTGTTTCAAGCGCAGGTCAGACACATACATAAATGAGGCTGGGTGGATATAATTCAGAGCGACTTCGTATGAGCCAATAGGCCTCATAGTTCCCTTAATTTCTATGCTTGTTTCTTCCTTGTGGGATTCAGGTATCACGCTAAGGACCTCGTTTGATCTGGTTATTTAACAGTCGTTGCAGAATGATTTTTAAAGTTGCCATGCAGATGAGGACAGACCAGATGGCTGAGGTGGGCACGTCCCTTGACCTCAGTGAAGAGGTCAACCCGCTGCTCTCCGTGACCTGACCATCACGTCTGGCCCCGCCCCTCACCCCGCCAAGTCCTTGGCCACCTGGTCATGTGTATGGCCACCTGAGCCACTAATATGGCCACCTGGGCCACTAGTATATCTAACTACAGGAGAGCATGGCATGCTCCCATGCTCTCACAAAACGGTGCAGCTCCTCCAACACTCACCAGAGGTGTTCCCCTAATATCACCCCCTCCCTCCCCTCCCTCACCGGCTCTGACACCCCTGGTACATCTCCAACACACTAATCACTCCGGCAATGTGTGTTGTCGTGTGTGGGCCACACTGGCTAGACGGTGTGTGACTTATTGGGCAGTGTCATTCACCAGCGAAGCCTCTTAGAGCACGGAGACCCCACCAGGCAGCGACACCCAGCGGCCCTTAATCAGTCTGGGTCTTCAGCGACAAAACTCCCACACAGGGAATAGCTCAACTGACAGCTGAAGCATACAAGGTCTGCTTGAAGCACGTGCCTGTGAGGAGGGGCAGAAAGAGGACCACTCTAGAAGTGACTTACCTCTCACAAGTCAAGCCTGACCTCGGGCCGGGCTGGGGGAGTAGAAGAACTCCCAGAACCCCATCAACCACGTATTAAGCAGAAAGAGAACGCAGACGACTGTACAGGAGAAGGAAAAAAATACCGGAAATGCTTAAACAGACACGACTGTCATAAAATAGGAAAATAAAAGTAAACAGGGAGATCAAAGAAACAGCATACGTTGAAGCGATCATACGAGTCTGAGGAAATGGAATTGGAACAGAAAGTTATACAAGAGAAAGATAAATAAACAAATATTTTGTTCACTTATGCAAAATCAAAATAACAAACCTGGACCAGTACTGGACCTTTACTTACAACTGAAGGTTCGTACACAGAGAATGATAAAGAAATCTGTGAAACCCTAAATGGCCAGCCAGTATGAGGCTATGTTTAGCACACCAATAAACAACATGAAAGTTGATGACCCAGACAGCTTCTTTATGGATGACATCCAAGCTCCAGATAATATAACTGATATTAACACACATCTTTGACAAAGAAATTGACAACAATGATGCACTCAGCTCCTGGGCCCGACTAATGGAATTCAATATTCATAAAGAAATGTAAAGTACCAGTAGCGCGAGCACTCAGCGTAATATGGAGAAAGAGCCTTGATACAGGGAAGATACCAGCAGCACTTAAATCCCCAGATATAGCTTCTCTGCACAAAGGGGGTAGTAAAGCTTTGGCAAAAAACTATAGATCAGTTGCACTAACATCTCGCATAATTCAAGTTTTTAAAAGAGTGATTAGTAATCAAATCTCCAGTTTTATGGAAAATAATGAACTACACAACCCAGGACAACATGGATTTAGAGCGGGAAGATCGTGTCTGTCACAGTTACTCAACCACTATGACAAAATCACAGAAGCTTTAGAAGATAAACAAAATGCAGATGTTGTATACACAGACTTTGCAAAGGCATTCAATAAGTGTGACCATGGAGTGATAACTCATATAATGAGATCAATAGGAATAACGGCTCAAGTGGGGCGTTGGATTTTCAACTTTTTGTTAAACAGAATGCAGGGAGTGACGGCCAATCAAATAATATCAAGCCCAAGTGCAGTGAAAAGCTCTGTACCCCAGGGCACAGTCCTTGCACCGCTGCTCTGTACCCCAGGGCACAGTCCTTGCACCGCTGCTCTGTACCCCAGGGCACAGTCCTTGCACCGCTGCTCTGTACCCCAGGGCACAGTCCTTGCACCGCTGCTCTGTACCCCAGGGCACAGTTCTTGCACCGCTGCTCTGTACCCCAGGGCACAGTCCTTGCACCGCTGCTCTGTACCCCAGGGCACAGTTCTT